CGCGTGTGTAGCGAAATTCCTATGAATGAATGAGGCCTTCCCAATTCATAAGTCATAATAACAATTATTCTAATCTAAAGAATGTCTCGGTAATCGAATGGCGTATTACATTTACATCCAATTTATCCAATAAAAAGTTGTGTCAACACTCTAATTGGAAAAGAAGCTTGTCGAAATTGCTTTGCTAGCTATCCAGAGGTACCTATCTCACACGTTTCAGTTACACAAACAATTTTTTAGTCTCCAAAAACCAAGGTCCACGGTAACATCAATATTTACAAGGACATCAGAAGATAATAACTATACATATGTTTTATTGCGTCATAACCCCTTAATCATAATCATTGTTTAAACGCTGTATTATTACAAAGAAGCCATTATAATTGATCCCATTAAGCTTAATAAAAATTTTGTTTGTGTCTCGCGTTAGGTTCGTAGAAGGAAGGATTCATAATATCGATTTTAAAGACTAGTCATAGTTTTCTTTGACCCAGTTCCGGATGGGAATTCCACCGCAGATCTTTCCCTCCTTCGGCACCTATTGCGTATATTACCATACCTTCTTGTGATACCTACCTGTTGCGTCATTATGCAAGAGTAAAATTTATGATCCTTCCCAGAAGATTCTTATTTATTTTTAACCATTCATTGAAAACTGCCGCATAATTTTGTTATTAATTAACGAAATGTGTCCGGGTGCCTTCTCAAGGTTTTTAAACCTACTCGGAAATGAGTTTTTTTACGCTGTAGCAGATCAACTACAGATGCCCAACTAAGTTCTTTATTTCACCTCACAATTACGATCTTCTAATCGATTCAGAATTTGATTTTCACCTGGCCCTCCATCAACACTACAGCCCTCCTGAATTTATATCGCCTCTCCTTACCTATGGCCTTCCAAGCTTTCCATACCCTTTCTTTGATAAGACGCAGACATGTCTAATAATTCTCCTAGAAACAAACTTTGCTTGGATCTCCAAAGTACAGTGTGGTTCATTTGGTTAAGATTGCAGCGTATCTCAGCTGTTTTTATATATAGTAAGACGGTTTTCCGACCCTGTACACTTTTTTTATGAAACTTTTAATACCACAACACTAATCAATCGAGCTACGTTTGTTCTGAGATACAGGGTGAAAATGAAAAGTTTGACTTTTTGGGGTGATATCGTATCTACCCATGTAAGATAAAAAAAGGTAAAAACTTCGTAATAAAAAAAAATTTTGGACCACCTTTTCTAAGATTTGACCCAAAATTGGTATTTTTGAAATGCAACACCCAGTATATTTAATTGTTTTTAATTCTTTTTTCAGATTATATTGATGCATCACAATGGCTATGAAAACCTTATTTTAATACTGTTTTTCAATAGTAGGCCATGGAGATACTGTTTTGTTTATTGTATCCAAATTCTAAATAAAAAGATTTGCTTTTTCGTATCTTACATGAGAACTTCTCAAAAAGTCAAACTTTTCATTTTTACCCTGTATCTCAGAAACAAACGTAGCTCGATTGATTATGTTTGTGGTATTAACAGTTTCACAAAAAAGTGGTACGGGATCGCGAAAACCGCAAGTCTCTATTTTTAAAAACGGCTAAGATACACTGCAGTTTCAACCAAAATAGGACACACTGTACTTAAGTAGGTAGTGGTTTTTGGTTTATTTTAAGAAATATTCCAGGTCAGGAGTCTATATATTAAACGCCTTCGCAGGCAAAATCTTTTTAGAAGTCTTTCTTTTATTTTAAACTAAGCCCTTTGGAACCCGTTCAAAAACATTTTTGAAATCTTTTTGAAAACTTCAAGAATTATCTCAGCCTAGAGATGAAACCTGTTTAAAAATCAACACACTTCTTCAGAAAAGTTAAAATAATTTCGATACCATCGCACAAAATAGAAATTCATTAGAAACCTTTTTAGGAATATTCCTAGGAAACAGCTGAAAACTGCCACCGTAAAGGATTATCTTTAGGGATCATATTTTATGCCATTGATATTCCCATATGAAGAAATGCAATTTCTTAGTTACAGGGTGAAAACGAAAAGGTTGCCTTTTTGTGGTGATATCGTATCTACCCATGTAAGAAACAAATTCGTTAAGCCGCTTGTGAGCAAGCAAATTTGTTTTCTCGATTTTAATAGACCTTATGGGCATTCCATGCCTTAACGAGAATACAAATTTTTAATTTCTGATCGAATGGTACCAATACCAAGTCTGTAAGTGGTGTAGTTCCGGAGCCTTTGTGACTCTGATAGACAGACAAACAGACATAAGGAAAAAAAAAAAAAGTGAAAGTGCACTAAAAAAGGTAAAAACTGCGTCAAAAAAGAGATTTGACCCAAAGTTTGTATTTTTTAGATGCAACATCTTGTATATCTTTACGTCATCTGTTTTTCATTTTTTTTCCTGATTATATTGATGCATCACAACCTATACTTTATTAATTTTAGCCATGAAAACCTATTTTTTTACTGTTTTTAAATAGTAAGCCATGAATTCATGAAGATTTTGTTTTGGTTATTGTATCCATGGTAATTAGAGGGGATACCAATCAATAAAAATCGCTGACAATAGAAACATGTCATCAAAATTTTGAAAAATATGATATAATATATAATTATATTTAAAAAAATATAGAATTAGAAAAAATGACGTTAAAATATACAGAGTGTTGCATTTAAAAAATATCAACTTTGGGTCAAATCTCTGAAACCGTGCTCCAAATTCTCTTTGAACTCCGCCACTGGATTCCACAAAAAAATATCTACAATGGGCTTTTTCCTATCTTACATGGGTAGTAAGACATGACAACTTCTTAAAAAGTCAAACTTTTCGTTTTCGCCCTGTATCACAGAAACAAATGTAGCTACATTGATTCTGTCAAGTCTCTATCTTTAAAAACAGCTGCAGTTTCCACCAAAATAGGACACACTGTACTTAAGTAGTGCTTTTTTGTTTATTTTTAGAAATATTCCAGGTCAGGAGTCGGGAGTCAATATATTAAACGCCTTCCTAGGAATAATCTTTTTAGAAGTATTTCTTTTACTAAAAGCCATGCCCTTTGAAACCCTTTCAAAAACATTTTTGAAGTATTTTTGCAACTTCATTAATTTTCTGTGCCTAGAGATGAAATCGGTTTAAAAATCTTGACACACTTCTTCGGAATAGTTTAAGTTATTTCGATACCATCACACAAAATTTAACCTAGCTTAGGCTCTTCGTAGATACCATAATATAGAATATTTTACGCAAAATCTTATTAGGTATTTATTCCATTCCATTGGGATTATGCTATTGAATGCTTAACGCCCAACTAATCGTCTATATACCGGGTGATCATCATAAGGCGGAAAACTGGTGCTTCGTTACAAAATTTCAAAATCCAATGTTTTACATCTCAACGAAACATCCACTGGTAACTAGATCTTGCCGAATCAACATTGCTATATGACGATGCATGTTTATTTTTAGAAATTTTCCAGGTCAGGAGTCGGGAGAATTTCTTTTTTTGTCCTCTTATCTCATTCCGTAAAAATCCAATAAGGTGACCATAAGTAATAGGCAAGGATTTAGCATGTTATAAAAATTCGCTGGCAACAGTTTCAGATTCTCCGAAAAAAAGTGTCCATAGAAGGTACTAACGGGAACTGTCCATTTCCGACCGTTGTAAATGGGGAACTAGGGAAAATTAAAACGAAATTTGATATTTTCAGTTTTTCGGCGATGTGTCAGTTATTATCGACGTTATTTTCAAAGATTTTTCAAAAATTTCAAACGCGTTTTTTTAGTCACAAAAAGGGGTAATTTTGATCCCATTTAAACTACACTGTATCTCTCACCGTGATGGAGATTTTGAACCGCTCCTTACACATCAAAGGTTGAGAGATGAAGCTTTGGAGGCTAATTCTTTTGATTACTATAATTACAATAATGCTTTTCATATAATGTTCAGGTCCCACATTTCTTCGTTTTCGGGTTGTTACATCAACAATTGTCATTTTCTCCATCTCTCAATCCTCTCACAATTCATGTGAGATTCAATGTACCTACATTCATATCGATCTTATAAAACTGTTGATGGGTTTGTAGATTCTTCAGGTAAATATTTATTCTTCATTTTTGTTAACAATCATTATTTCATTCATTTCCATTGTAAATGATCATGTCACCTTATTCGTTTCTCATTAAAGTTTTGAGTTTGCTGTGTTTGTTGTATGTTGTGTACGTTTCCAAGAGGATTTTTCTTATTTGGAACACTAGAATTAATGATGGGTTGTGAAATATTAAACAAATAGTGGTTTTACAGGACGTGTTTCATTGAACAAAGATACGTTTCAATGGAATAAGCTCTGTATTTGCGAATCTATTGCTTACCGAGGATGTACCTACGGTTTGTAAATTACCTAATTGGAGAACGTTTTAATTCCAACAATTCTGTTGAATCATTAAAAAATTGGGGAAGAACGCCTTCGAATGGAACGTTTTAGAGAATGTGAACACTTGTTCAAAAATGGAATTTGACCATAATGTTTTCCGAAATTGGTCTGTGTCGCTTCCAAAGAAAACAAGGCATCATCTCGTCGCGAGGGTGGAAATCTATCTTAAAGCGAATGGAAATACCCACAATAGAAAGCTAATTTAGGCAATTACGTTTGCAACGAGATTGTTTATACGATTGGGTCAGTGTAAATTCTTCTAAAATCGCTTATTAATAAACTACAATTTGGCTTTGGTACAGGAAGCAATAATTTTGCAACTTCCATAATAATGGAAACGTTCAACGTACCTTTGGCGCATTTTACTTTCAAGAGAGGGAGTAATTGTAAACACTTGTTTATAATTATCTAACGTACCGAAATACTGTATGTATCTAAAAGTAAATTCACAATGTGCCGGTCTGTTTTTAATGACGGACATTCATGCGAATAATTGTCGGAACGCGAATTATTTTCATTTGTACATTTGCATCTGAGATGAACTTGTGTTTTATCTATTTTTAGATAACTCAATGTTTTTGCGTGGACGTGGAGAAGTTAACCGTTAAGGTATGGATATCACGAAGAAAAACGTCAATGTTAATCCCAGAACAAACGCAAACCCCTGCGCTGTATTATTTTTTACGTAAGTTTTTATTTTATTTTTATTATTATTTTTAAGTACGTTGATCGGGGCTTATGTTTATGTAACGTCTATTACATTTTGTAGAGCGATGTCTGTTGTAGATAAATAGACAACAGTCAATTTAGTTTGGAGGTTATTAATAATAATAATTATTTTAGTAAGAGGTAAGTAGTACAAGCAGAGCGGGGTGTCCCAAGGTTTCAATCTAAGCACACTTTTGTTGTTTCTTTTCGATTTAATTTCGAATGGAGCACAATATAATTGCTGAAATCAAACGAATGTTTCTCAATTTGTCATAAATTCAACATTTAGAAACCTGCTATTGACATTATAGCATCTACCTACTTTCAGTTGTACACATACGAACGTACACACACCAGGAAAAGATCTGAACAGAAATTTATTTTGTCATTAAAGAAAGTGTTGCAACATTGAATGAATATATTTACAATATTTCTTTAGTTGTACGTTTAATTAAAATAATCCCAATAACTTGTATTTAATGTTACGATATTCGTTGCCGCATTTTTATATAAAAATCCAAAAGAAAAATACTGGACTATATTAAAGTCGTACTTGAGTAATTATGCAATTGTTATTTAATTAGCTTGACTGGGTTAGTAACGTCAATTAAAGTACGCAAAACCTAGGCTCCCAGATAGTTTCTTTTAGAATCTTCCAAGTCCTTAATAGCTGATATTTATATAGTTGATATAAATAAAAATGATGCTGTTCTTCTGAGTTATAATACAAACTTTAATTTTTCTAAATGATAGTCATAGACGTCATAGTTGGCTTTGACATTTTTAAAAAGGACAAATTTTTCTTTTTCTAACGATATAAGGCTTGCTAAATGTACTTTAATAAATAAACGCGCTGCAGGAATGTTCGTATTATTGAGAGGTAAATAAACAGAGTTTGCCATGGAAAACAACATCTAGTGAGATAGTGTAACTGTGGCACATTTACATATTTAAAGGCCATTTCGAAAATTCACTATGAAAGTTAAATTAACAATTATATTCAATACACTATTAAAAGTAGATCGTATCATGCCATGGAAAACAATAAATAAACAAAATACTGCTGCTTATTGTTGAAGGCCTCAAATAATACTTGGATTTAATATTTGGTGTGGACTTATTGGATCGCGAATTCTTGGACCTTTAATTTTCGATGATAATTGGACAGGCCAACGTTGTACATTTTCTACCAAATTAATTTCAAGAATGTAGGATGGGTTAGATTTGGAAACACGACGTAATTTACGATGGTTTCACCACAACGGTGCCCCGCCGCACAGCCACCTGCAAGTACGAGAGCACCTAAACCAACCATTTCCAAAGACATATGGATATAGGTAGGAACGAGAAGGCCCTTTGGTCACCAAGATCGCCAGATCTTTCAATTTTAGGTGTTTTCTTTTCGGTGTTCTAAAAGCGTTTAATTTATCAGCGAAAAAAATGCACTTTTTAAAAATGTCACAGATAACTATAGTTGCCATTTAAAAAAATGTAAGTTTGAGTTATAATAGTCTAGGGCCTAGGCGATAAAGACATCTAACTGGACATTTTGAGGTGGAAAAGAAAAAATGGTGGAATATGTTCAGTTAGGTGTCAGAAACAACCTATTAAAAATCCCACCCCCCAGACCCTGTGCTAAAGGCTCCAGCCACCCCACCATCCCCCAAAAACCGTGTTTTCGCTCTTTTTGGCTGATATCTCGCGATCTATGAGGTCTATATGAAATATTTTTAGCTGAAAATGCTCCTCGTGAAATTTCTTACAAGGTAGATACTCAGAAATTAGCCTAGGTATACCTTTTAGCCTAGCAAATTCATAAAAGGAGGCGAAAATCATCATTTTCGTGTTTTTTTTTGCGGTTTTTTGCAAATATATCGCGACCTTCAGGGCTAGATGAAATATGTTTAGCTGAAAATGCTCTTCGTGCAATTTCATACGAGATAGATAACTGAAGAGTTGACGTAAAGTCACCTTTCACCTTCAACTTTCATGTGTGAGCAAATATTCATTGTAAAACAAAGTATGTCTATGTAAACGTAAATACAGTATTTTCATATTAAAATATTCACACATTCATTTATACCTCAACGTAATCATTATCCTCTGCAGATTCCACTTCGACGTCCTCTAGTGCTAGTGGGTCCCAATACCACTAGAGGACGTCGAAGACCCTGAAGAAGTGGAATCCGCATCTAGTCTATAGCTTCAAAGTTTAATTCAAAAGTCAAAATTGCTAATTTGTGGATTGAAGAGGTGGCATGGAAATTTATATTTGAAACCTTAACTGGAAATATGGAACATCCAGTAATTTCAAACTTCAAATGAGAGGCGTTGGAAGTTTAAATTTCAAGTTGAAAGTTAACGAACTAATGATCTCTTTGTTGATTGAGAAGTCTGATCGAAGAAGTACGAATTGATTTGGTTAAGTATAAGGATAATGATTACGTTGAGGTATAAATGAATGTGTGAATATTTTAATATGAAAGTACTGTTTTTACGTGAATAAATGGTACATAGAAATACTTTGTTTTACAATGAATATTTCCTCGCACATGAAAGTTGAAGGTGAAAGGTGACTTTACGCCAACTCTTCAGTTACCTATCTCGTATAAAATTGCACGAAGAGCATTTTCAGCTAAACATATTTCATCTAGCCCTGACGGTCGCGATATTTTTGCAAAAAACCGCAAAAAAAACACGAAAATGATGATTTTCGTCTCCTTTTATGAATTTTCTAGGCTAAGAGGTACACCTAGGCTAACTTCTGAGTATCTACCTTGTAAAAAATTTCACGAGGAGCATTTTCAGCTAAAAATATTTCATATAGCCCTAAAGGTCGCGATATATTTGCAAAAAGGCACGAAAATTGATGATTTTCGCTGCTTTTATGAATTTCCTAGGCTAAGAGGTACACCTAGGCTAACTTCTGAGTATCTACCTTGTATGAAATTTCCCGAGAAATACTTTCAGCTAAAAATATTTCATATAGACCTCATAGATCTCGAGGTATCAGCCAAAAAGAGCGAAAACACGGTTTTTGGGGGATGGTGGGGTGGCTGGAGCCTTTAGCACAGGGTCTGGAGGGTGGGATTTTTAATATGTTGTTTTTGACACCTAACTGAACATATTCCACCATTTTTTTCTTTTCCACCTCAAAATGTCCAGTTTGCCAATTTTACAGTTTCTATCGCCTAGACTATAACTCGAAAATTATAAAAGAAGAATGAAAATTAATAAATGTACCTTATTAAGTGGAAAAAAATCTACAATTTTTGTTCTTTACATATTTCTGTATTTCTAATACTAACGAGTCTAAAACATTTCAAAGAAAAATCACTAAATCTGTTTTTCGCTTATATCTAGTAAACTGTGGATTTTTTTCAAAAAACAAAAGCATATCTTGAATAAGCTTTTATTCTATTACCTATTTAGGACATTTTCAATTACGTCAATCGTTTTTGAGTATTTATTCTATCATCTAAAAAAAACTAAGTCTATTTTTTATTGTCACAATAGTGTGTTGGGGCAACAACCTGCGCGCAACATTTTACACAGTTTAATTTACAAATTTGTGCAAACTTAAATGAATTAATTGCCTTAGATGCAGCGGTCAAGTTTAAAGTATGCCCTTTATTGTCACATAAAAAATAGAACAGCAAGACAGTAACCAAACCGTATAATTAACTACCTACTTTACATTAGATAAAAGTTGCTTATTAGAAGATTATTAATGGTAGTATACTGCTGTTTTTATGATCAAAAGTTATTTATTAAGTTGGTTGTATGTCATACGATTACATAACGGCCGTTCTACCATTTATTTCGCATTTATCCAGAAATTTATATCGACATGCAAAGGTAGAGAGATGACTATTAAATCAAATCAAAAGCGTCGTTCTGATTTAATTGCCTGACTGCGGCAAAACGCCCGAAGATCGCCATGGTTACCACCTCGATACGATTCTAAACACGAAAAAAAAGGTAAAGGACCTTAAAGGATTCTACACGAACCAGCAGCGGCGACCAATATGTCAGCTCACCTACTTGAGCTTTATCTGACGCTGAACAGCTTGTCGGCTATCCACAGAAGAGGTTTTTAATTTAGACGTCAGCCGAATGAAGCGGTCGCTCAAATTTTTGCATGTCTACGGTTTGGATTGGATCAATGACTCCTATGAATGAACGAACACACAAAGTGTTATAATTATATCTCGCATTCCATTTCGCTTATACCTCGTGTAATGACTTCCGTATCAAACTGTAGGTCAGTATTGGTTAAGTTTTACAAGTTGCGGAGGAACAAAAAAACTAAAGAGTCCAACGAACCTGGTATATAGCTTTTCAAAATGTCATTTTAGGTAGGTAAATTCTATCTATACCTATTGTAATGGTACCAGTATATTAATTTATAGATTGTTTCTCGCAAACCGTTACCTAAAAATATTCAAACCCTCAGACCCCCATTAATAATTTAAATCTGCAAATTTGCATACCAATATAGTTTTTTATGATCATCGAAAGAGTTTTCATCGGATGTGGGTAGCAACTTTCTTATTTCAAATGGAACACCCTGTATTTTATTGCATTTTCGAAATCTACGTGAAAGTCGTTTGATAACACCTCTTCGTATACCCAGCATCAAAGGTTTTCATGTTATTCAAGATATGCTATTATTACACCAAACTCGATATTCTACAATTGAAAACTCGTTGCTATATATGGTAATCAAACATGTTTTCTAGCAGCAAGTATGTTTTGTGGTTTAACAGAAAACCAACAAATGCAGCAAAATGCATATTTCTGGCACGCATAATAAAATGTGTCACATTAAATGTTTCTCAATTATTATTTGTAATTTGCAAATGTACTTTTTCACGTTGGCAACTTCCACAATATAACCGGAATAAACCAAATAATATACAAAGAAGCACATGTTACCTTAGTCCTTCAACTCTAAATTTAGAAAGCCAAAATTGA